ATAGTGATCAGACAAGAAGAAGAAATAAAAGGCATCTAAATTGGAAAAGAAGTAAAACTGTCCTTATTTGCAGATGACTTGCTACTATACATAGAAAACCCAAAGACCCCCTCAAAAAACTACTAGACTTAATAAATGAATTTGGCAATGTAGCAGGATACAAAATTAACATCCAGGAATCTATGGTCTCTTTATACACCAATAATGAACTCACAAAAAGAGAAATGAAAAAAATCCCATTTACCATTGCACCAAAAAAATTAAGATACCTAGGAATAAATTTAACTAAAGAAGTAAAAGACATGTACTCAGAAAACTACAGGACATTTAAAAAAGAGATAGAGGAAGACATAAAGAAATGGAAAAACATACCGTGTTCATGGATTGGTAGAATCAATGTCATTAAAATGTCCATATTACCCAAGGCAATCTTCTTGCCTGATTACTGTGGCTAGGACTTCCAGTACTATGTTGAATAAGAGTGGTAAAAGTAGACATCCCTGTCTTGTTCCTGTTCTTAGGGGAAATGGTTTTAGTTTTATCCATTGAGTATGATTTTGGCATTAGGCTTGTCATATATGACCTTCATCATGTTGAGATCTGCTACCTCTATTCCCACTTAGCTGAGAGTTTTATGAAAACTGGGTGTTGGATTTTGTCAAATGCTTTTTCTGCATCTATTGATATGACCATGTGATTTTTGTCTTTCAATTTGTTTATGTGATGCATCACATTTATTGATTAGTGGATATTGTACCAGTCTTGCATCCCTGGAATAAAGCCCATTTTGTCATGGTGTATGATCTTTTTAATATATTACTGAATGTGATTTGCTAATATTTTGTTGAGGATTTTAGCATCTATGTTCATCAGGGATATTGTTCTGTAATTTTCTTTCTTTGTAGTGTCTTTCTCTGGCTTTGGAATTAGGATAGTGTCGGTCTCATAAAGGTAGTTTGGAATTGTTCCTTCCTCTTGGATTTTCTGAAATATTTTGAGGAGTATAGGCATATGTAAGGCAAAGGAAACTAAGGATAAAATAAACAAATGAAACTACATCAAAATGAAAAGCGTCCACACAGTAAAAGAAACCATCAATAAAACAAAAAGAGAGCCCACTGCATTGGAGCCCATATTTGGCAGTGATACATCTGATAAAGGGTTAATATCCAAAATATATAAGGAACTCATACAACTTACCAAAAGGAAGACAAACAATCCAATTAAAAAATGGGCAAAGGACCTAAACAGACACTTCTCCAATGAGGACGTACTGATGGCCAAGAGACATATGAAAGAATGCTCAAAGTCACTAATCAACTGAGAGATGCAAATCAAAACGACAATGAAGTACCATCTCACACCTGTCAGAATGTCTATCATCAACAAATCAATAAACGACAACTGCTGGCAAGGATATGGAGAAAAGGGAACCCTAGTACACTGCTGGGGAGAATGCAAACTGGTGCAACCATTATGGAAAGCAGTATGGCATTTCCTCAAAAAATTAAATATGGATCTGCCATTTGACCCAGTGATCCCACTTCTAGGAATATATCCTAAGAAACCCGAAGCACCAGTCAGAAAGAATGTATGCACCCCTATGTTCATAGCAGCACAATTTACAATAGCTAAGGTCGGGAAACACCCCAAGTGCCCATCAGTAGATGGGTGGATAAGAAAGCCGTGGTACATTTATACCATGGAATACTATGCAGCAGTAAAAAAGAAGAATCTCTTACCCTTTGATACAGCATGGAGGGACCTGGAGAGTATCAGCTAAGTGAAATAAGTCAGTCAGAGAAAGACAAGTATCACATGATCGCACTCATATGTGGAATCTAATGAACAAAATAAACTGATGAACAGTATAGATCCAGAGACACGGAAGCATGGAACAGAGTTCAGAATCTCAGAGGGAAGGCCAGGGAGGGTGGGTGGTTGAAAGGTAATCAACAAAAGACCTGTAGTCACATTTGCATAACCCATAGACACAGACAATAGGGTGCTGAAGGCATGGGGTGGGGAGTGAGGGGACAGGGGAGGGTTGGAGGAAACAGAGACATACTTAGTACTTTCAACAATAAAAATTATTTAAAAAACTAAACAAATACAGTCAAGTTGCAGAATACAAATTATTGTGCAAAAATCCATTGCCTTCCTGTATACTAACAACAAAACCTCAGAACAAGAAATGAAAAAAGAAATTCGTTTTGCAATTGCAACAAAAGAATAAAATGCCTAGGAATAAACTTAACAAAGAATGCAAAAGACCTAGATACTGAAAATTATAAAGCCTTACTAAAAGAGATTTTAAAAAGACACATCAAAATGAAAAAAAAAAATATTTATATTCTGTGTTCAGGGATTGGAATAATCAACATAGTTAAAATAGCCATATTACCCAAAGCAGTATACAGATTTAATGCAATCCCCATCAAAATCCCAATGTCATTTTAAAAAAATAAATAGAACAAGAAATCATCAGATTTGTATGGAACCACAAAAGACACCTGATGGCTAAAGCAATCCTGAGAAAAAAGAACCAAGCTAGAAGTATCAAGCAACTTGACTTCAAATTATACTACAGAGTTATAATCAAAATAACATGGTACTGGCAGAGAAACAGACACACAGATCAATGGAACAGAATAGAGAGCCCAGTTATAAAACCACATGTATATGGACAGGTAATTTTTGACAAGGAGCCAGAAACATACAATGGAGTAAACATAGTCTCTTCATAAATGGTGCTGGTAAAATTGGAAAGTCACATGCAAATGAATGAAACTGGATTGCAGTTTATCCCCATATACAAAAATTAATTTAAAATGGATCAAAGACCTAAAAACAAGACCTGAACCAGTAAGTACAATATAGGTACCAATCTTGTGGACCTTGGTCATAGACAACATTTTATGAACTTGACCCCAAAGGCAAGGGAAGTAAAAGCAAAAATAAATTAATGGGACTATATCAAACTAGAAAGCTTCTGCAGAGCAACAGAAAGTGACAACAAAACAATGAGGCAGCCAACCAAGTAGAAGATGATATTTGCAAACAGTAGCTCTAAAAAAGGTTTAATTTCCAAAATATATAAAGAACTCATAAAACTCAACACCAAACAAACAACGCAATAAAAAAAAGTGGGCAGAAGACCTAAAAATATAGCTATCCCAAGAAGACATATGAACAGCCAATAGTTATATGAAAAGATGTTCAACCTCACTGGCAATTAGGGAAATGCAAATAATAACTACAATAAGACAACACCTTACACCTTTTAGAGTAGCCTTTATCAACAAGACAAGCAATAACAAGTATTGGAGAAGTTGTGGAAAAAAGAGAATCCTCATTCACTGCTGTTGGGAATGCAGACAACCACTATGGAAAGCAGTCTGGCAATTCCTCAAAAAATTAAGAATATAGTTACTATATGTGCCAGCAATCCCTCTTCTGGTTACATACCCTACAACCTGGAAATCATGTATTCAAAAAGATATATGTACCCCTATGTTCATTGCGGCTTTATTTACAGTGGCCAAGAGATGGAAACAACCAAAGTGTTTTGCAATAGAGGACTGGATAAAGAATATGTGGTGCATATGCACAATGGAATACTACTCAGCCATAAGAAAGGATGAAATAGTGCCATTTGTAAATTTGCAACAACATGGATGGACCTTAAGACCATTATGCTAAGTAAAATAAGTCAGTTAGAAAAAGCTAAGAACTACATGATTTCACTCATATATGGGATATAAAACTGAAAGTCGTGAACACAAACAGCAGTGTGGTGGTTGCCAGGGGGAATGGTATGGGGGAGAAGAGGATCCTAATATAAGGTGACAGGAGAAGATTTGACTTTGGGTGATGGGCACATGATGCAATATACATATCTTATAACATAGAAAATCACATCCTAAACCTATATATTCATGTTGACCAATGTCACCCAAAAAATTTAATTTAAAAAAGATAAATAAGCTTAAAAAAGAATCTATAATAATAAAAGCGTAATATGCTAATTAGACCGGACAGCTGAACAACCTTCTGATGTCATTCCGATGTCCTTCTGGATGAAGCCGCCATGGCAGGGGCCAAGGCAGAGGTGGTTAGGGGTGATCAGGCAGGCAGGCAAGAGTTTAAGAGCCAGTGGTCCTGGATTGCAAGAGGGAGGTCTGACTGCCAGTTTAGGCCTGATCCCACAGGGATCCCTGTGGAATTGGACCTAAACCCACAGTCGGACATCGCCTGAGGTGTCCTGGATTGCTAGAGGGTACATGCTGGGCTGAGGGACCCTCTCCCATGCATGCATTTCGTGCACCAGGCCTCTAGTCTTCTATAAAAGAAACACATATACTGACAAAAAAATGCAGCAATTGAAATAAACAGCAGAATATGTTATGTGCTTACGCATCTGTCCTCTGTTTCTTTTCATCTCCTATGGCCAGATTTTTGCAATTCTTGACAAAAATATGGAGCCCGCCAGTTTTGTAGCAGTAGCTGATGTGGAGAAGGATTTCACCACTGACCTTCACATTGCCATAGTCTCCTGTTTCACTGTAAACACTCAGCATGCTATTAAGGCTGGCCTAGAATAAACAAGATAGAAAGAGGAGTCCTATCTATATATATAAAAAGCCAGCGACCGGAATGCCGTAATGACTGGAACAACCAGTCGCAATGGTGCCTACTGCGGCCAGCGAACTGGCCCAATCAGGGGGTGGGGCTGGCAGACCAACCTTCTGAGGCCCCTCCCCCCAGCCGGCCCCACCCATGATTGGCCACTCCCACCCAGATCGAGGGCAGGGTGACCGGTCAACACTCCCCCGTGGCCCTTCCCCCTGGCTGGCCCCACCCCTGATGGATCCCACCACCCTGATCGGCCCACAGCCCCTCCCCCCAGCCAGCTCCACCCTCAATCAGCCCCCCAACCCATTCTGGGGCAGGGCCAGCCATCCAACCACCCACAGCCCCTCCCACAGCTGGCCCCATCCCTGATCAGCCCCCACCACCCCAATGGTCCTGCGGCTCCTCTCCCCAGCCAGCTCCATTCCTGATCGGCCCCCACCACACCAAACAGGGGTGGGGCTGGCTGGCCAACCTCCCATGATCCCTCCTCTGGCTGCTGACCCCCGATCAACCCCCCCACCCCATTCAAGGGGGGCAGCTAGCTCACAGCCCACAGACCCTCCCCATGGCTGACCCTGCCCCCAATCAGGCCCCCCACCCCAATCGGGGGCAGGTCCTACTGGCCAATCACTCAAGGCCCCTCCCCCCAGCCGGCCCAGCCCTAATCGGGCCCCAATTGGGGCGGGCTGGCTGGTTAACCTCCGCTGCCTCTTCGTCCCGGCAGACCCTGTCCTGATCCGCCCCTATTGGGGCCAGGCCAGCCGGCCGGACCCCATCCATGCATGAATTCATGCACTGGGCCTCTAGTGTTATACTAATGATCTCTTCACAAAAACCACCCCTTTCATTCAATTATAATTCCTGTTCTTTATAATCAGTAGGGAAATCTATGGAGATGGAAGAAAGCAAAAATCACTTATTTGCTTAATTTTCTCATTGCATAAAATCCAAGCCTGAGAAAGGACAATAAGATCTAGGACCATTAGTAATGAAGGCAGGAAACTTGCTGAGAGGAGAAGCATTGCTCTTTTGCATTAGTGAATAGCCTTTGTTTATTCACTTTTCTAATGAATATGGAGTCATTGAGGCATTTCCAATCCCATCTCCTCTCCAAATCCCTGTAGCTTTCTCCTTTCTCATTGGGAGGCTCAAGGTCAATATACTTCAAGATCTAGAATGCGTTCACCAGGACAAACAAAAGCTCATCTATTTGCTAGTAAGTGCTACAAAATTCTCCCTGGTATACCTCCAGAGAGCATCTCATTAGCCTCTGGAAAGTCATAACTGCAGTATTAACAAGGCACCCCTCAGCAGCTGTGTGGCCACCTAAGTAATGTAGGACCCTGGCTTCCTAAACCTCTGTAAAATATCAACCCACAAAATAGAACACTGCGGTAACACACTAACCAATACATAAATTGTTTTAAAAAGTCCAAATCTCCCAGAATGAATGAAGTTCCTGATGAGTCACTAATTATGAGAGACATATTTTCAATCAAATGTAACAAAATTATCCTTTAGTGCCATAAGCAAAAACTCTATCTTAGCAGCATGACTAGCACAAAAGACCACCTGAAAGGCTTTCATGAGTGACTTAACAGTCTCAAAAGTCTTGTTTGTGAACCACTGGGAAGTAAGGACTATGGTAAATGCAGAGAGGTTCCACTTTTGACTTTTTCATATATATATATATATATATCCCTTAATATTT